AACAATGTGTATATCTGTACATATACGCATATTTATACATGTATGTAGTATTTTAATAGTTTTGCCATTGAAATTTTGTGAATTGTGCCAATAATATTCACATAATTGTCGAATAATGCCGCAATGGCAACTAGAGCCAGATATCTTCGTCCCGCTCGAAACAAGCAGCTTATAGAAGTCATGGTATTTATTTGCCCCGAAATCTCAATTTTGGGTTATTAACTTCAATTGACCAAAAACCGGAGAGTGGATGTACACCAAATTGGAATGTGGTGACGTTGCCGTGTGAGAACAAAAGCAAACACAAGAAATCGTTGTTGTAACATACTTTGCCCCGCACAATGTTACATAGTATGTAATGATGGAGGAAAAACCTCTTTAAAACAATGTATACACAATCATATAGCTAAGCAGACAAACAAATACATTTACAAACAAGCATAAACACGACAACTGCACAGCATTAAAATCAACTCAACATCATAATTTGTTTCTATTTGTTTAGTGGTATTCCATGTATGTTTAAATCTCTTCATGTGTGTATATTTGTAAACATATAAATGCGTGTATAGGTGGTGGTATAAGTATGCGGGTGTTTATGTTTTGTTTTCAAAATGTACTGTTGTGGCTTATGCTTGAGTGCACATTTGTGGTTTCTGTACTGGTAATAGTAAAAAAAAGGAAAATTATGTTAACAAAACTAATTTGTTTAGTGTGTATGCATGAAAATTTCATAATTTTTTTTTTGTCTTTCTATTTCTGCTTGGCACTGATTTGCTTTTTGACCTAATTTTTGTTGCTATTATTTAATTGCATGTATCCATTGAAATGAAATAAATTATAAAAAATAAGCCTCGCTAAACGTGTACACCGCATTTATTCTTCCCTTTGCAACATTTAGAAATACCTCTTAAGTAACCTAGCTTTTTCTGACTTTTTTAAATGTCTATCCGTTTGACCACAACCGCAAACCCAAAGACAAAGAACTGTAATCTACACTTTGTAAGAGATATTAATTTAAAAATAGGAACAAACATTTAGTAGGATTTTTTAAAAGTTCAGTGCAAGAACGGCTGAAATCCGCTTTAGACAAACAAGTCAGCTATCTCATTGCTTGTGTAAGAAACTGAATTTATAATGCCTAGCTATTGACGGCTCAAAAACTCTCTTTAACAAAACCTGCACTATCAAGACCCACAATTACAACGAAGTATATGGGCAATCGGTCGTAAGGGTGGATACCAATGTTTCGCTCTAACGCGAATATAATTTGGGGAAAAAGAAATCCAATATTTTTATATGAACTTCAGGACTTTATTTAACATGCTTCGGATTGTCCGATTTGGGTCAAATATGCACCGTTTTGTTGTATGATTTGTTGCCATTTTAAAGGTAACTTCAAAATGCCTCTCTCATAGAAGTCCTGGTCTCTATTTGCAAAAAACTAGTAGTCGATTTTCACAATCCTCCCTAGATTCCAATTTTTTATCATTAAAGAAATTTTGCAAGGCAAGAAAAAGATGATAATCGTTTGGTGCCAAGTCCGGACTGCATGGCGGATGCATTAAAACTTCCCAACCAAGCTCCCGAAGTTTCTGGCGAGTCACTGTAGATGTGTGTGGCCTAGCGTTGTCCTGGTGGAACGCGACACCTCTCCTGTTGGCCAATTTTGGCCGTTTCTGGTCAATCGCTATCTTCAAACGGTCCAGTTGTTGACAGTAGAGATCAGAATTTAGCATTTGGCCATATGGAAGCAACTCATAATAAACAATCCACTTCCAGTTCCACCAAATGCATAGCAAAACCTTCCTGGCCGTTAGTCCTGGTTTGACCACCGTTTGAGGTGCTTCACCGCTCTTTGACCACGATCGTTTTCGCACAGGGTTATCGTATGTGATCCATTTCTCATCTCCAGTGACCACCCGTTTAAGAAATGGGTCTATCTCATTCCGTTTGGACAAGGCTTCGCAGATGAAAATTCGATCCATCATGTTTTTTTCTGTTAATTGGTGTGGCACCCAAACATCGAGCTTCTTTTTGAATCCAGCTTTGTGTAAATGGTTTAAAACTGTTTTATAGTCGATTTTTAGCTCCTGGGCGATGTTACGACTGCTAACATGCCGGTCAACTTCGATCATTTCTCCGATTTTATCGACATTTTCGACGACCGGCCTACCTGTGCGAGGTGCATCTTTAACATCAAAAATTCCTGAACGGAATCTACGAAACCAAAATTGCACATAATTGGCTGTTACAGTATCGGAACAATAAACACCATTCACAATTTTAGCCGCCTGGCTTGCATTTTCGCCTTTGTCAAAGAAAAATTGTAAAATGTACCGAATTTTCTCTTTGTTCACTTCCATTTTTAACACGCTGTAACTCACAACTGAATGCACCAAACAAAAAACAGCAAAAGAATTTTTTTTACTGCGAAATGTCACCTTTCCAACGAGCATAAATATGAAATTGTTTGATCGATACTTTACGAGAAATCTATCAGTGCAGCCTTCTACCGAAAAAATAATGGATTTCTTTTTCCCCAAACTAATATATTGGAAAATATTTAATTGTCGTTGATAATCATAATACAAGTTGACTCTAGTAATGTTTTAAATTTTCACAATTGAACACAAAGCAGGTAAAAAAATTTTATTTGACAATGGCCGAATCTTTTATGCTCAATATCTTTGTTTTAAAAGAAGAAGTTACACTCGCCCGCAAAATTCAAATTTTGACAGTCTCGAATATTGGATAAGTATAGCCTACAAGGCTTTTGGGAGGGTAAGAAAGGATCGATCTTATAATGTACGAGGAAATGTCCATCGTTTCTTTTGTTATAGTGTACGAGTAAACAGCAAAAATACTAATTTGCTTTACTTTTAAACATTTGAACTTCCAACGGTTTTGACGAAGTTGAAGCTAACTTTCCTCTCTTTTGAGATTGGTGGAATGTTAATTGCACACTAACATGCAGACTGATGAATGGTCATACGTAAATTGCTCAAAACCTATATATACTTAATAGGATATCTGTGATATGTATATCTATAGGATATCTGTGCTTAATAGGAAACTGTGGTGGATGTTACAAGAATTTAAATTGTATGAACTCCTAAAATTCATCTATGCGCTATTTACATTACCTTATTTATATATATATTATTATTTTCATTATTATATTGCGTACAAATATGTTTTAGTTAATTATTAGCGAATTTATAAAAACCTTACCATAAAGGAAATAAATTTTAATTTTAATTTTTGAGGTTAGAACTTTAGTTACGAGATAACATATTTATGGGTTTTATTGTCCGAGAATATCTCGTATATTTAAAATTTTAATTCAATTGAAATTCCCCACGGTGATTGGAGCGTGGATGCGGAATTATCTACTTTGCCGTTATTTAAAGGAGCAATGAAGCCACAAAGAAAGTGACCAGCGTACCATTTTGTACGTTAAAGCGGACATTTCAATTCAATTAGTAGGAGATAGTTTGAGACATAGTTCTAAGAGAATTTTCGCAATATATATATAAGTACACGACATACATGCATATATAAATATGGTGTATATTAGGTGTGCAAACGAATTGTATAAGTGTAAGATTCAGGTATTTACAAGCTGTCGTTCAGTGTATAGCAAAGTGTCAAGAGATGAGGCCTCTATTTATGGAATCCCGGTAACTGCTGTCAAGCAACAATGATATGTTAGAATTTTCATATAGTTATGCTATGTTATGTTTGAATGTGTTTATTTTGTATTTTTATATATGTTTTGTTATTTTTTCCATTATTTTTTGTTACGCGTTTACAATCCTTTAATACACAAAATTCCAAAATATCTTTTTATGGCAAAAACAACCAAAATTTAAATCATATTTTCAGACAGAAGATAATAATTTCACGAAGTTAAACAGACCAGAAAGCTGGTGGGCACAGCTGTTCTCAGGAAGTCCTCACACTTTTTTCATACATATAAGTTAGTCATCAGGTTCACATACGTCGCTACTAGTATGTCAATTTTATGATTTTTCAACGCGAAAATGCAATCTTTAAGTTTACGCCATTGTGTAAGTAATCTAAGGGCATTTAAAGGTATTTAATAGAAAGAAAAAATAATTCTAAGGAGATAACGTCTGTCTTATAAGTCAATGGGCCTTTGTCACGGACGATGGCAAACACAAACTGACAGAGACCCGCTACACATGTATACACGGACGTTACACGCTATCAACAGCAAATGATGTAATTAATGCGAAAAAAGGCGCAACGTACCAAATTCACGATGTCGCGATTTCATGCATGATTATTTTCAGGCCCGTAGGTCAAAAATCACTCAGGAAATTTTAAAAGCACTTGAGAAAGGATTTCGTTTCTATGGCGGTACTAGAAAAAAAAAGGAAGAAATTGTAGGACCAAATGACCTTTTGTTAGCGAGGCACAATACTTTCAATAAAGCATCTTTTGCTACTTTCCTAAAATGTGCGATTTCTTTTCGTCTCTTTGATCGATTTACGACCTTTCAACAAAAAGTGTTACTTTTAAAATATCATTGAGATTAGACAAGTGACAACTAGGAAGCTTCCAGATACATGAGAGACTTATTTCCATCTCTCTAGGCACGTAAACAAGCAATATTGTCTCCTGTACTGTTAAGTGCTCCCAAAAACTTTTGAGGATTATTCGAATAACCCTTCTTATCTTAGCGAGTTTTGGGCTGGCTGTGCAATTAGGTCATATCTTCAAAAATAAATGGTACGGATGTGGTCGACGCATATTTTTAACAGGACAATGCCGCATCACACATAAACTGTGAAGCAATATCTGTTTTGCGCGCCTGATCTAAAAGAGCGTTTGTTTAAAGATGTATAAATGTATAAATAACAATGTATATACTTTCTTTTGTTAAAAAATTTGATAAATAAAAATTTATTTTGTTACAAATCTTCTTTTTAAATTACATTAGAATTTAATTAAATATGTTATTCTTCTTTCAGTTGAAACCGAAGATCCTGAGTTTACAGACGTTATCGATAACATAACAGTACCTGCTGGCAGAAATATTAAATTGGCCTGTTCTGTTAAGAATTTAGGATCTTACAAAGTACGTAAATTACTCATATTACTCATATTAACGATAGGAATATAATAAGTTCTATAAGTTATATTTCGCTATGAAATTTTCTAATTGAATGTAAAAATTAATTAATAGAGTTTCATGTGCCTACAAAAATGTAATAAAAGAAATATTGCTCTGCTACTACACGATAGTTTGTGGCTGTGTATTACGTCCTGTCTAAGTCTCTTTCTTCTTTGAAATATCTTTCTATGCAAATTCAATTCTATTCTACATTATAACATACTTGAACACTTGCTATGCATATTAACTAGAGTTTCAACTGCCTTTCTCTGAATGGCAAAACAAAAAGAAAAACGTATAATCAAATCTATATTTGTTTATATGTCTTGCACGATATGCAAGCGCACAAACATCAACAACAAATAATACAGCGTCGATTTGTGCACATGTGTTCTTTCGATATATCTTGCGATGAAATATGGAATTTAAGTCACAGAAACATAAAATGGCTATAAAACCATTTAACATGTTTGCTTTTATTATTTTTGTGCATAGTGCATTGATAAGATAGGATATTGGAATTCAGAACTTTTTTTGTAACTCTTACAATGTGAATGCGAATTATAAACCATTTAGTAGAAAATGTATTCAATTTTCTGTAGTTTTACTGGTTCGTTTTTCTTTAACTCGAATACAAGTTTATTAATTTTTAGTTTTGCACTTACTATTGAACAATTGGAGGATTCAACAATTAGTTAGATTCGTCGTAAAGTTTGAAACGTGTACAAAATACGTATTAGAGACGCTATAGGTTGCATATACTTTTCATCGACATAAGAATCTAAGTCAATAATCGTGCGCGTCTGCCTATACGCTTCTTGTTGGAACAGTTATAGTTGGGAAAGTTGTTATAGTTTATTGTTAATATTTTTCGTAATAAATATCTATAGATCAAGTTCGAGAATAGGCGTGATTTTCCCACAATTCCGCTCATGCACAAGAAACAATAAATTGTAGTGTGAAAAAGGTATTAATAGAATATGCTGTTAAACCCCTCAGTTACATGGTGAATCAATATAATACGGTTCGAGCAACTTTGACGCAGCCCTTATTACCAAAGTATGTTGGCATGTTGATGGCTTGATAGTTTAAGGTAAATATTATATATTTACGTAGTCAACACATTTATTGCTTCTGCAATGCATTATACGGAGACACAATATTATTGATTTGATTTACTATACTATTTCGAATAATGTACTGAACTCAAAAGCTTGTAAAGACGGAAAATGTTTGAAAAATTCGTAAAAGGGTAACAATCACAAAGAGATTCTTGTTCGGGACGAATCTTCAGCAACCGATTGCTCACTTGGCTTGGTATATATTAACATATATATACATTTTTGGCAATTAGGGTTGAGCCGATTGATTGGAAGGTTATTATATCAGTTCTCACTAGCGTTTGATCATAATTTCAATTCGTAATCTGCATCCTTTTGCATATTGAAGAGGCATTGGGAAGACCAATTCAATGTTTGGAGCAGTTGTAAACGAAACATAGCCATGTTTAATTTTGACCTAAAGCAAGCATTTGGGCAGATAAGTGCGTGAGAAACCTGTAGCGTATGGGACTTGACCCACATTGATTTGGTATAAAAATCCAGCTTTGTCTAAGCATTCTGCATTATGTAATCATTGAGCTCTGGAGGTAGAACAAGCAAATAACCCTGAACGTTACTATATAGCAAAAAAAAAAACTAAATACTTTCAGTTTTTGTCTTTTTAAATTGTAGATAAATTTTTTTTGATAAATGAAGTGAACTGGACTTTTTTGTTTATGGATTGGGCATGTTCTTCTAATACAAGAACATTCTTTTGAAATAGATTTTGTCTTTTTTCTATTTTCTATGCATTTTATAAATGCTTTTAAAAACGTTGCCTTAGTCATGTCAAAGGCCTTCTTCCAATTTCAGCTTTTACATATAGAGGAAGGTTTTTTTGTAGGACATACTCAGGTAATATTATAAATACACATATATAGATGAAAGCAAAAATATGGTTAAAGAATGTTGTTCTCTGTCAGCATATACATGCTGACTTATATGTATAATATACATATGTAAACCCATAGGTTTTTGTTTTCAGAATATACAACGTGACTATGAATATTAAAACGAAATAAACAAAACTTAGGATCTTTCTTAAGCAAACGTAAGGAAATAAAAATAATATAATTACGTAATATTCACAAAGACCCTATATACTTATCGGAAATTCAGAGGTCCTATGAAAAGCAAAAGAAGAATAAATGCTACATAAATTAAATTTTTAAAAGCCAAACATGATTATTATTTCCTTTAATGAAGCTTTCAGCTTTAGTTATACCAGATCCTACCTGTATTTTCTACGAATGATACTTGTTTACAAAACTTATTAGCAACAAATATAAAAAAAACTTTTATTGTTAGTCCGATTCTGTTGAACTATTTATTTATCCATTTCCACATAAATTCGTGTAGAATGGAGTAATAGCCGAATTAAAGACCTTTAAAAGAAAAAAGACGATTTAAGGCAAAGCCCTTAATAAATAGTGGAGAGAAAAAAATGAATAGGGAAAATAGACCAACAATAGATTTCAAATTTTACATTTTAGGAAACGTTCTCCAATATGACCAACAAGTTGGCTCTTACAAAGCGACACAAAGAACGCCGTCGATTAATTTAAACGCCCGCAACCGGCGCAGGATGAGCCACCAAGATATCATCTCCTATTCAAACACACATATCAAGTCGTGAATTGAATCAAGAATAGGGTCACTGGCATAGTATTCAACGCGTTATTTCTAAATATAAAGACAAAATAATCCAAACAACTATAAAAGGTATTGGATCTTCGCGGCGTTGCGTCTGAGCAATGAAACAGAGACGCTTTCATGCAAATACGTATCATACTCACTAGATTTCTAGTGCCAGTTTTCCGGTATCGATTTGTTTCTGTCGTTTTTATTAAAAGTCGATCAAAATAATTCGAATAGATCACCCCCTTCTCAGGCTTCTTTGGACATTTTACATCATGAATGTGCCCATCTATAAAGAAATCGTTGCAAGCGCAAGGATTTGCTATAATGTTTTTAGCAACTTTTTAGCTAATGAAATTTTATTTTAAAGACAAGATTTAAAGCAAATATTTTTAATTAATTTTTTCATTATAATATTTGCTGAAAGCTGAAAATGATAGGTGGCAGATTTGTTTGAAAACCCAGCCGATAGCCGAATCCAAAAATTGTCGCATTTTTGTTCTGACGAAAATGTCGGACATCCATTATTTAATTGTGTTTGAATTAATCGTTCAAATGAAAAATTGCTGTAATAGTAACATTCTTTGAATGTGTTAATCAGCCATATGATTCTTTTGACGTCAGCTGTACATTTTAGTTAGGCTGTGAGATTCATAACATGAATGCATTTAATATTTTATTGTTGATATTCACAAACATGTTGTTTAACTCAATAAGTCGCAATATTTTAAAAGCTCATTCATTTACCAATACTACCACTTCCTTTTCTGATTTTGTTCACTTTTTCATAATTTTATTATAAAAGAAATTATAGTGTTATCTCTCTGTTAAATACCCTACACCGCCTTCGATAAAGTGTTTGGTCGTTTGCCGTCTTCACACCTCTATAACTTATTGCCATAAAAAGATTTGCTTTTCACGAGAATGGTTGTAAGAGGCCGGGTAGTGCGAGTAGACCAGTGTCGGCGATCTTCATCATAGTCAAATCGTCATTTATAACAATTTACGTCATAAATAAATTAATATTCTACTTTGCTGTTATGTAAAGGTTTATTTTCTGTAAGATCGTTTAAGTGGTAGAGGGATAAAAAATATGTTGATTGTGTAATTTTAGGATAGCGTTGATTACATACTTTAGGATAGCGTACATATTATTTAAAAATTTTAGAAGAACTATTTGAAGAGAGACTGCTAGTACTAACATTTCGTAACGATTCAGCGCTTATTTTCGACTTCTCAAAAGCCGGATTTTCTTCATATTGATTTATTTAATCAAAGGTGTCATTGGTGTGACAAAATAGGGCATTAGATCAGGAGCGGGTATAATCTAATTCAATAGCATTCACCATTTGATCAGAACATTTCGGCTCATTAACTTTCATAAATATACCTTGAAAACTGCGAGATAGCATATGGGCAGACGAATAGATGGACATTACTAAAAATGATTTTTAATTAATTGGTTTAATAAAAAAATGTTGTATTTAAAGTCCTTCAGATGCCGCGCACATTCGAAAAAAACTCCATATGCTCCCATTATAAGTGATATATAGTGTAATAAATTCTTCTTTACATTGGAGCTGATCTTTTATACTCAGTGTCTTAAAGCAATACAGTATTGTAACGAAATTGTTTGTCAACTGTGCTAGTCTTTACATCAACATCCGACAGGTAGCCTAAGTCTAACTTATTGTTTACCAACTAGTAAAATTTGTTTGCCTAATCTGGATGTGATTTTAATTGTATCGCTCACATTTTCTAAATTGGGTTCTTTGTCGTAAAATAAACGGATATAAAATATACCAACGCATAATATTCATTTCAGTTTTACCTATGGACAGATAGACAAGAGTAATTCTACTCGGGGTCCTAGGTTTCAAGAATGTCCAAACATCGGTATTTCATTTAAAGAAAAGCTAACTATTCCGTTATTTTTTAATTGTGGTTGTAAGCGTCCCAGAGCCAAAACTCACATTACTATTTACCATACAAATATGACGAAGCAATGTATCAAAAGTTATGCATGGTGTATGTATAGTATAAACAAAAGAAAAACTTTTTTATCGTATATCTCAAAACCAATTAGAAGGCACTTTCAATTAACCTAAAAGTATTTATAGAACAATTTAACTTAAAGTGAATACTTTATCTTAAAGACCATTACGAATATTTGCGCTACATAACATAAGTTAACATATCTAAAATATCATTAAAATTTTCCACAAC